ATCTAAAACATATTTCCATAATAGTCATTTTGTGGAAGAAAACTAGAACCAAAAAAGGAAAGAAAGAATTCGGACTCCACCGGTTCTTTCTCTGTAGACAGATAGCATTTTTCATTATGAGTCCTTTGGGATTGTCTTGGATCATTGGATTGCTGAGAAGAGTGAAGTCATTCACAGTTGATCATTGCACAACACGACTATTATCGTGTTCTCTTGTTCTCCTGGTTCTGCTCATTTCACTCAGCATCAGTCCATACAAGTCTTTCCAGGTTTTTCTGAGGTCTGCCTGCTCATCATTTCTTATAACACAACAGTATTTCATTACAATCATATACCACAATTGTTCAGCCACTCCCCAATTGATGGGCATCCCCTCAATCTTCAATTCTTTGGCACCACAAAAAGACCTGCTAGAAAGACCCTTGTACAAATTGCATCGTATTTTACAGAAAAATTTGAGGCCATTAGCCATGGGCTCTCCCCCTCCCCTCTTCCTCATGCCCTGTCCCTCGGGTTCCTTCTGCCCCATCTCCTCCTTCACCCCCTTTCACATGAGGAGCTGGTCTTACTCCTCTACTTGTCTCCTACAACAGAATGGCATCCTTACCCTTTCACCTATTTGCAGTCTTTCTCTCTATTGGATCATTTCCTACTACTTACAAACATACCTACAACTCTTCCATCCTGAGAAAACCCTCCCTTGATCTTTCCATCTCTGCTAACCAGCATCCTATCTTTCTTCTGTCCTTCATGGCTCTTTTCTGCTCCCTTCCATTCTGGCTTCCATCCTTATCATTCCACCAAAAATTCTCTCTCCAAAGTTCCTAACGAACTCTTAGTTGCTAAATCCAACGACCTTTTCTCAATCCTCATTCTCCTTGACCTCTCTTCAGCCTTTGACACTGTTGATCACTCCGTCTTGAGACTCTCTTCTCTCTAGGTTTTTGGGTCACCCTTGTCTCCTGGTTCTCCTCCTCCCTCTGAATGTTCCTCCTCTGTCTCCTTTGCTGATCTTCCTCCAGATAGATCACGCCCTCTAACCACAGGTGTCCCTCAGAGTTATGTCCTGGGTCCTCTTCTGTTCTCTCTCTGCAGTACTTCACTTAGTGATCTCATCAGCTCCCGTGGATTTAATTTCCGTCCCTCTACTGATGACGCTTTCTCAAATCTACCTATTTTGCCCCCATCTCTCTGCTGACCTCCAATGTCCAATCTCCATCTGCCTTTCAGACATCTAGAACTGGGTGTCCAGTATGCATCTTAAACTCAGTGAATTCATCATCTTCTCCCCCAAGCCCACCCCCACTCCTGTCTTCTCTGTTACTGTAGAGGGCCCCACCGTCCTCCCAGCCCTCAGGCTCACCATGTGAGCAGCATCCTAGACTCTTCGCTATCTCTGACTCCCCCTCCCATCGCCTGGCTGTTGCCAAGGCCCGTCAGATTTCACCTTTGCAGCATCTTATGAATGCACTCCCTTCTCTCCTCTGACACTGCTCCCCCCCTCATGCGGGCCCTCATCATCTCCCACTTGGACTGTCTTAATAACTGCTGGGGGGTCCACCTATGTCAAGTCTCTCCCCACTCCAGTCCATCTTGCATTCAGCCACTAAAGTGGCTCCCTTTTACCTGCAGCATCAAATACAAAACGCTCTGTTTGGCATTCAAAGCCCTTCATAACCCACCCCCTCCTCCTTTTCAGTCTCGTTACAGTTTACTCCCTGACACATACTCTTCAATCCGGTGACAGAGGCCTCCTGACTGTTCCATGAACAAGACCCTCTGTCTCTTGGCTCTGGGCATGATCTCTGGCTGTCCCCAGGCCTGGAATGCTCTCCCCCCATCCCCCATTTTACTGGAAGCCTTCCCCAAGCCTTCTTCATTCCAGTGCCCTCCACTTTCTACTTACCCACCTACACCTTGTTTGTGCACATTGAATAATGTCTGCCCCATTCTAATGGGGCCAGGGACTGTCTTTTGACTCTTTTTCTAACCCCAGCTCTTAGCACAGTACCTGGTACATAGTAGGTGCTTAATAATGTGGACTGATTGATTGCTTGTCAAGGGTTCTGGGTTTCACCACTGCCTCTATCAGCAGTGTGGCCTTGGGTGAATCATAGGGGAGCATAGACTTGGAACTAAAAGGGACCTCAAAGGCTATTTAGTGAAACCTTCCTTCTTTTACAGCTGAAGAAACTGAGGTCCAGAGAAGGGAAATGACTTGCCCAGGTCATACAGGTTCTGAGTAACAAAAGCAGGATTTGAACCCAAGTCCTCTGATTCTTAATTCCAGACTCTTTCCACTGGGCCTCTGAAACCCTTTAGGTCTCTAAGCCTCAATTACCTAATGTGTAAAATGACAACCCCCCCCCCCCCAGTTTCTTGTGAGGGAAGCACTCTGACAACCCGAATGCTGAGAGGAAACATGGGTTAGTGCTCACTGGCACCGTTTGGTGATGGGGAAGGGGGTTCTGGGACCGGCCTGGTCCCCCTTAGCCCTCAGGACCCTCTCATGCAGGTCATGCCAACACTCTTGCTGTCATCTCCTTTACTTCTTTGGGCTTGATCAGTCCACAAGCACTTACGACACATTTACTGGGTGCCAGGTCTGGTGCTAAGCATGGGGAAAACAAGGAAAAGAGCAAACCAATCCCTGCCCTCAAGGAGCTTACATTCCAGCAGAGCCAACAATCCCTATGAATCAGTACACACGAGAGAAGTATAGAATGGATGGAAAGTCACCTCCAAGGGGATGCCCCAGGCCTCCTGTAGAAGATGCAGCTGAGTTGAGTTTTGAAGGACGCCAGGAGGCTGAGCTGAGCAGGGATGGAATTCAGCCATAGGGCAAAGACGGGAGAGGAGCCAGGGTTGGTTTTTTAAAGGGGGTGTGGGGGGAGAAACTTGGGTGTGTTAGCAGGCAGTTATCAATTGACCATTTATTCATTGATAGGGAAGGAACCAGGAGAAATTGAATATTAGAGAGTAGGGGTGGGGGCGGGTCAATTTGCTGGAAAAGATGAGAGAGGATGGAATGATAATTGGTGATGGTGGTGGTGATGATGATGACGGTGATGGTGATAATGGTGGTGATGATGGTGATGGTGATGATGATGATGATGGTGGTAATGATGATGGTGATGGTGATGGTGGTGGTGATGATAAT